AGTAACGACTCAACTTTGACCATGAACATTAGGCTTGCTTAGATTCTGGGTTCTTCTATGTAATCAATCATGGGATTGACGAGGCATTCATGGATGAAGTTTTCTCTCAAAGCAAAAGATTTTTCAATTTGCCGAAGGAGGAAAAGATGAAGCTTCTGAGGAATGAGAAAACCCGAGGCTATACCCCTGTTTTTGATGAAGCTTTGGATCGTGCCAATCAGATACATGGTTTCTGCTGCAATCTTACTTTAAGCTTTAAAAAGATAAATAAATTCGTATTTCGACTGATTTAGAGGTGGTTTGCATTTTTATGATTCAGGGGACTATAAAGAGGGATACTACATTGGAGTTGAAGTATCTGAAGATGACATTGATGAGCAGAAACCTTTTTATTCACCAAACATCTGGCCTAATGAAGGTAACTTAAAGGAAAAAAGGACTGATGTTTTGAACAGCCTCATTCCCTGAAACTTGAATGGATGCTCCAAAATGTTTTTACTTGCATTACCAACAATCAAAATAAAGTTCAGACAACTTAGGGATTATAAGTTCAATTGAAGGGATTAACTTAGTTTGGTTGATTATTTCAGCAGTACTCTCAATGTTGATTATCTCGGCTAGTAGTCATATTGCACCCTGGCATACATGTTACATGTTATATTTGTACCACATCGATTAGTTACTGGCTTTTGTGTATAAATGTGGGTTGGGCACCTTCTCCCTTTTGGGTAGCTTTTGGGGATGAGTTTTACCCAAACCCATTTATCATGATATCAGAGCACCCAGGTTCTGGTTTTGGGTGCGTGGAGGCTATTTTGGGTTTAGACTCAACCCATTTGGTGTGGCATGCTGCACGTGAGGGTGGGTGTTAGAAGTCATGTTTGTCTCACATTGATTAGTTACTGAACTGTTATTGTGTATAAATATGGTTTGAGCACCCTCTCCCTTTGAACTGCTTTCGGGGACGAGTTCTACCCAGACCCATTTTTTCACATGTTAAGCAACCTTATTAGTTACTCCCTCTTTCCCCAAAAGATTGGCTAGCGGTTATTTCATTCAGACTAAAAAAATGTTTGTTGAAAGTTTATTTTTTTCCTTGGATATCCTGTTCACTATTGTATATGTACTCGTTTTCCGTGATGTTTATTTCCATGAGTGCATTTGAGTAGGGAGCATATAGGTGTACAGGGACAGTAAAATTATTTATGTATGGCAACAAGACTATCTTTTTGTGACACTTTGACTGAAATTGTGGCCTATCCTTTTGGGTCGTAGGGAGTATTATTTAAGTTGGACCTTGTTATCAAAGTTGATTGTTGAACTGCATGTTTTGAACATCACAAATGTCATGGATCTTTAACAGATATCTTGCCTGGATGGAGGCAAACTATGGAGAAGTATCATCAGGAGGCCCTGTAAGTTACACCCACCAAATCTTCTTTTTGGGAAAACATAGAACCTAAAACCGCTGCCTAACAGTGGAAAGTTATGGCATTGACCGGACTTGTATTCATAATTATGAAAAAACATTAATTTGCGAAGATACATGTCTGTCCATGGAATTTAAGAAATGAAATGTGAATCAGTGACCCCATCCATTATCTATTCTATGCTGCCTCTGTTTATATTACTATTTTTTCTTATGTGTAAGCAATTTCCGGGTTCTTTTTGAGGATTTGCTATAATGGAAGTAAGAGAAAAATATTTGCTATTTTATTACAACAGTCTTGCCAGCATTGTAAATTAATATACAATCAATGCTTTTCGTTTCATACTTTAATGTTTGGAAAAGGAGGTACCGCACATGGTTTTCGGTTAATAAGTACTACTGCATGAAGACAGTACCTCATTTTAGTTAAACCAATGTCATTAGTAAATGTCATCAATATGTCATTTGTCGTTCATATCTATGATCCTATCTAGCTGGAAAGCGCAACTGTTGAATTTAATTTGTTCGCGCCGCAAGAATTATTTAGATATTCAATAAGCTTTCATCGAATCTCGCTGTGAATTAGTTGTGTTTCGGCCAGTTATAAGTTTAGTACTTTTCAAAGTAAACCTAACAACATCAGCACAATCCTGTGTTACAATGTATCTCTGACAGTTTTTGTTTGCTACACTTAGAAGTAAATAAATAATTTCATGGTCCTCCCTTTTCACCTCAATGGCTTAGTTCATTTATTTTTCTGTGAGGCCTCAAGTTAATATTTAATTTGGAGAGAGCATGTAGCTACTAAATTACATATCAATACAGTTGCTTTTCTTTAGACACCATGATACAATAATACCACATCTCAACTGGGAATGTATAGAAAGTCGGCTTTGTATTTCTGGAAACATACAAGAGATATTAAAATGCAATTAAGTAGAAAGTCTCATGGACTTGACATATTTGTGCTTTATGAGCCAATATTCATTATTTTGGATAGTATGAAACATGTGAACAATGAGAATGCTAATCTTTCAGCAGGAACATTTTATATTAGATAGAAATACCCAAGTATAAACTTTTATGAATAATCTTTCGTTGTTCACAGCGAGGTGGCTAGAGCAGTTTCACGTTTAATAGCCCTTGCACTTGACCTGAACATCGATTTTTTCGATCAGCCTGAACTGCTTGGAAATCCAATCGCAACCTTACGACTGCTGCATTATGAAGGTTAGAAATAACACCATTTAACCAAAGCAGTCATCATCTTGTCACTTAGATTATATAGTTTCAATGGTGCTTGACTACAATAGATCGAACTTCTGAGCCTGACAAGGGAATATTTGGAGCTGGTGCGCATTCTGATTATGGTTTGATTACCCTTTTGGCTACAGAAGACGTGGATGGTCTTCAGGTATGTCTGATAAAGATCTTTACCAGTGATTGAAAGGAGCGGCCGAGGTGCTCAGTTCATCTGTGGCGAAGCCTAGCCGAGGCTCGCACCACAGGTAACTGGGGCACAGGCAGGAGTCTTTTGTAATACTAGGGCTATGAACTTACGGACTTTATAGCTCACTTTTAAATTGCACAAATTCTCTCCAACCTAACGTAAATCAATTTGTGCCTTTCCTTTCTGTCCGAGTCGACCGGAGCCGGCGGGTTTTTCCGGCTATGGCGGAGACTTCACTGGTTCTGCACTTACATTTCTTTTGGACTTTCTCGTAGTCTTTTACCTGTTTCCCTTTGTATGGTTGAGTGAGGACTACCGCTGCTTATGGACGTTGCTGGCCCAGCGGGTGCTCCCGCAGCCAAGATTATAATCATTATCTTTATTTTTTTTATTTTTTGTCCTGCTGCTACTGGGGCATGTTTTGCTTTTTGTGGAGTTGATATTAATTGATAGCAGACTTTTTTGGACATT